AACATTAACTAACTTTACTACCAAATAATAATTCATCAAAGCAGCAGTAGTCTGAATGTGGTGGCGATGTCGGGTTGTAACATGCATTAAACTTGGAAAATTTTTCTTTCTTCTGAACAGAACCGAAAATGTTTCTTTACTATGTTGGAAGAAAAATATTCTTTCGTTGTAAATATTAAAAAAACGAGATTTCCTTTCTCCCCTCATTTTTATTTACTTCGACTTATTACTGAATGTAAGCCAGCCAAAAACAACTTTTGACTACATCCAAATAATTCAATCATTATAATTTATGGTGCTTTTTTCAACTCAATACTGCTGTCTAAAGTTTGTGTTATAAGAAAAAGTACGTCTTTTTTTGTAAGTGTTCAAGCTTCTAATCTTGATCATTCAAAAACTAGATAGTTTTGATCTTGGAAAATTGGTTTTGAATACTTCACAAAACTATCTTTTTGTATTTTACTTACTATACTCTACGCAACTCATATTCTCACACGTTTCCCTTGATTTTGTTTTCTTTGAAAAAACATGCGCTTTCGAAAAGACGAGATATAATGTTTACCATAAGAAATCCCTTCATCATATATTATATTAAGAGAGTAAAAAAGAATGAAATTTTTCTCTCTCTTCTCTCTTCATATAAGATTTATTCCTCATACAAGCAAAAAACGAACGGTTTTCATTGTACGTAAAGTTGCCTATTTACTGTTCTTCTATAATCGTATGAAGCATGCTGCAATACATGCATCTTCAAGACAAAACAATATTTCTTTCATCTTTCATTTTGATTTCCTTTTCTCGACTACTTCACTACTATCGAACACATTTAAAATGACTCCTCTATAAAAGCAGTTAATTTACAAACAGATAACGTCTATTTTTGTGGAACTCATACATATTTTCGAAGAAAATGGTGAGTGTAAGTTTAAGAGCGAGATTTTATAGTTTCTCTCGTCACCACCTCCTCCGTTATAGCACAGTTACAAATTTTTAAAAGTAATGAATGGTATTACTTGTGAGTTGATTAATATATATATGATAGTGCGTGAGATCTGCTGTAGATACCATGGAAATGTAAAATAGACTTCTTTGTTAACCAATTTCATGATTATAATAATAAGTGTATTAAATTAAGAAAAACGAATTAAAAAGAAATGAAAAATAATGAGCGAATGGCAATAATGCGAACAAAAAATAGTGCACTAGTAGAAAAAATTTAAAAAATTTGCTCGAAATACAGAAATAAATAAGACAAATATTTACTTTGTTGATCGATTATTTCAAACGCAATTCCTAGTCTATGAGGGATTTTTATTTTTCACATCATCTGTTTTGCATTAGTTTAATAAGGATAAGTAACATATGGTAGTCCCACATTTTAGCCCCAAAGGAGGTGCATTAACTAGCTTTTCTATCAAAATCTATTAAAATCTAGATTCAATAAGTGGATAAATTCAGCAACAAACTTGTTATATGTAATAACTTAGAGTTTCTATCCAAACATAAAAGTTTACTTTATAATTGAACGAGTTAATAATTAGTTCTACTTGAACAATAAAAAATGTCATGAAACTAAATTATAATAGTAGGAAAATATTTTCATGATCTGTTATTGAATAAAACTAGTACACAATTGTAGTATACTCGATAAGATCACCGATGTCAGCTTTAATTAAACTTTATTCATGATCCATATTCTTCTTTATGAGTGTAGTAAAGAATTCATATGATAATAACTTCTCTGATTGATTCTCTGCGAAAGCTATTTCAATGAAGAAGAATTCTACTTCATCGAAAACAAATTGTTATTTCGGATAAAAATTAAAGAAAATATCAGTACCAGACACAAAACAGCAATGCATCATACTATATTTCAGTTCTTGTTCGTAGTTTTTTTGTTTACTTCTAGAGAAAATTAATTTAAATGGCATCCATTGCGTCAACAATATCAACTACAATCGATAATATTATTCAACGAGCAAATGAAGTACAAGTGTGTCAGGATCATATGAAATCAATAACAACTAATTTAACTCGTCTTCAACATCGTTTTAATCATAGATTTACAGTATTAGACGAAAATTATTCACACGAAGATCTTACAGAAATACTAAAAGTCATCGATGAAGTTATTAAGAGTTGTCATGAAAATGAAAATCATCTTAATGGATTAACTTATAGAGATCTTGAATCTGTACTACTTCGTCTTCAATGTCGATTAGCTCAATACGAAGCTAATCTAACAGATGACTACGAAACGAGAGTACAAATACTATCTAATGCTTTTCAAGACCAACAACTCTGTAATCAGAAATCCTTTGATGAGACAATGAGACGAGGATTAGACACAATTGAACAACAAACAATGGCAAATACAATAGAAAAACTTCGTCTCTTACGTGAAAAATATTCCAAAACGATCGAATCCTATCTTCGCACTTGTGTCGAACTACATCGAGGTGAATCTATTCCTGGTCTCACTGGTCAAATTGTTGCCAAAGTTGCCAATATTTTCTATCAAATCTCTGATGATGAACAAATGATATTAGAACGTAAATGGCGATCATATAAACTTCCTCTCACACGTACATTTATCCAATTTAAAGCGGATAAATCGACATCATTCGAAAGAAATGAGTCGCGACGATTGTGTATGGAAGATGAAGACAAAATGTTACAGAATGCATACAGTCGAAAAAAACCATCGAAAGCAATATGGGAACGATTAGTGTCAGATCCCTACATGATGTCAATAGCTCGAATAAATTATTGTTCGCAAGAAGACAATATTTCTGAGAAAAATATTATTCGAACTAAACGTTGGATTGCTATTTTGGGTGATCCAGGAAGTGGAAAAACAAGTTTTGTTCGATGGCTTGTTCATCATCTTGCTCAAACTCTTCTTCTTAATCAACAGCATTCAACTGATTATGGTCCTATTCGTATACCAATTCTAATTCGTATTAGTGAATTTGCCGAAATATTGAAAGAACAACCATCATTAACTTTATTTGAATAACTTGTGATTGATCTATAGTCGGTACTTTAATATGCCAAAAAT